GTGATATTTATATATATTTATTAATTAGTAGATAATGGATAATAAATCATTTATAGACAGTTGACATTTAGGTATTAATTAACAATATGATAAATTTATAACATACAACAACAACAAAAATTATTATGTTGACCGATCTTAAACTACAAGATGTTGTTTGTTACTTAATAATAGCGTATGATGGAGGGACCCCCTTAAGCAACCCAAAAGTTTGTAGCTTGCAACCAATTCATTTCTTTGCCTTTATCCTTAACTTATGGTAGGCCTCATTATCGTACTTGGTTTTCCTCTTCACATGTCTCGTATAATGTCTAATTGGGAGGTTCTTTTGAGGAAAGTAGATAAAAAACAAACAGTCAAATTACTTTAATGTATATTTTCTAATCGAATCCTCTCTCTGGTTTTTATCCCAAACAACAAAACTATGTGTGTTTCTGTGTGGTGTGTTTTGTCATCATCTAATATACTTAGTACTACACCAAGAAATCGTACCAAAAGACACTCTGTTTTTTTCAATTTGGACTTTCTACTTGTTTTGCATCCTTAAATCTGTGTCTTTGATGCGAATATTCTACTGTTTGAAAACCATCAACGCAATACAATAATGGACTCCGTGCAAGGAAATCGATAATTCTCTTAAATTAATTATTTTTTTAATATGGTAAGATGGGGTCCTTTTGAATTCAATTTTAATTAAAGAAATTTGATTTATTAAGCGCTGAAAAGGTTATTTACTTTGTTTAGTATTTTTATATTTGACTTTCTGTTAAAAAATAATATGATTCTTATTTTTTATTTTCTGTTTCCAACTTACCATTAATTTGTTTCTTTTCATTTTTTGATCAACTAGTTTCTTTTCTTTCTAATACAAACTAATAGAAAAGGGACTAACCTACAACGTAACATTCAAAGTAAAAAATTTCTTTAGTAGACGGTAATGTGAAAAAGAGGTCACGAGATTTTACTTGATAATTGTAATTCTTTAATAAAAGAACACGCTATTACTTTATTTTATTTTTTTTATTATTTTAGTACTTGAAAGAAAAATTAAAAAAAAAGTTCCATTTAAAATTATTTACGAGCATAACATATGTTTTATATGAAATTTCTACAAAAAAGACAAATAACATTGTCATACATTTTTAATTTTATTAAAAACCTCAAAGAACGGATCTTGTCTAGATTTTGTTTTAAATTCGTTGAAAAAATAGAGTCTAGACTGCAATTTCCACGATACTGAATCCCATCTAAGTTTACTTTACACTATTCCTAATAAATCGAATGAGACTTTTCCAAAGAACAATAAGTTCCTTTACATTGGCATAATCTTTTTTCTTCTTTTTTTTTTATAGTGGTGATGATTTTCAATTCGTCCTACTTACTCGAATTATTCCCAATTTTTTATTCCTTAGCATGGACTACAATTTCCCCAAACACTTGAATGAAAACTCATGAATTTTCATTCAATTAATTTCTAGAACGAGCACACCAAATGTAAGAAATTGTGTTTTTGTGTAGTTAAAATAAGTGTAAGTTTATATTTAAAAGTGTTTAATTAAGATTAATTTTACAATATGGTCTAAAAATATCCTACCCCATCCTATTGTCTTTGCAAATTGTCCTTTCTTATATCTCCTTTTTTTTTTCTTAATTTCTCTCTATGTGTTATTTAAACATTGCAACTTATATACGTTTTTGAGCTTGACAACATAACTGAAGTGAGATTCAATTTTTTATATTAATTTATCCTAATAAACTTATGCATGTTTAGTTTTCTTTTTTTTTAGTCATAGAATTTTATTTATTATTTAATTTAATTTTAGTTATGTACTGATTTTTTTTATTTTATTTAGTTATGTACTAATTTAATTTAATAGTTTTATGCCATGGGTATCCCAAAAATTAATCAAAACCCTAGAGGTTATTCAATAAGCAAGAAAATTTAAAGAAATAATAACACAATAATTATAAACCCCAAAAGTTATCAATTAGTGGTAACAATCAAAATAAAATAATCTCACATGTTATCGTGTTATGATTTTACATTTGAAGCATTTAGATATATAGGCTAAATTAGGATGATTAAAGTTGAGCTTGTTAAATGTGCAATTTTAAATGTGTAATTTTTTAAAGTTTTAAAATTAAAGTTGAGCTTGTTAATTAAGATATATCGTGTTATGTTTTAAAATTTAAAATTACACATTTTATTTAACTTAGTATATGTCTTTCTATTATTAGTATATATATAACTATATCTTTATTATTCTTATTTTATAACATGTATCACTATTTTTTAATTTACTTAATTTAGGTATGTCACTCTTTCTTAATATACGTGATAATATAATGCATTACATTATAAAAATAATTTTGTATTTTTTCTCATGTATAAAACATAAGAAATACAACACTAAAATGATGATGAGAAACAGCATACTCATTGAACTAACCAACTATTATACAATAAAGAGAGAGACATGACTCAATGATAGGATAGAGGTAACCACGACTCATAAAGGCGTCAAGGGAGGAGCGAATGACGACATGGAGAAGGCATGCACCACGTTGTGGATAGAGCATAAATAGTGATAAGAATATGTAGATTATATATAAGTTGTGTGCAATTGTTTAAATAATGTTTAAATAAATTATTATACTTCTGTCCATTTGTTTATTGTTATGATTATATATAATACAAAAGTAAATAATGCTGTGGTAAAAAAAATTAGAGATGTTCATGTATATTATATATATATAATTATATATATATATCTATATATATAACTCATATTATCAATTGTTTAAAATATGAGAAAAAATATTAATTAATTATAGTACAGAGCACTTTTCGATCATCAGTGTATAAGTATTATGTTTGTTTAAATATATTTTGATCATTTGATGTAACATGTAGTTGTCCAAAATTTATTCGACAAGGAAAGAACTATACCAATTAGATTGTTGACATTGATAAATAATGATTAAGTTAAGAAGAAAGAAAACCATATTAACAGGTAATTAGGCAACATGGTCCAAGTCCATCTAGGTAAGGGTTCATAAATAGTAGTATACATAACACATTCTACGAAGTACATTAATTACGTTCATTAATTATTGCACTTACTACCATCTCATGCACTTGGCTGACCTTAACGTTGAAATGTTTTCTGCAGGTACAACCCTCATTTGGGTTGAGAGGATGATACATGAGGTTGTGAAAGTTTAAGGGTTGGAATACAAAATGACAGTGACTAATGAAGATCTTTGCAAAGTATAGTTGGTTCTACAGACAAGAACATTTTGGCGTCCACCATGGGACTGACATATATTCTATGAAGAAAAATGTTATAAGGTGTCTATTAGAAGCAAGATGGTCGAAGTAAAGGAAGCAACATTAGGACCATTCCCACCTTGTTAAATTGTGACACCAATGTATCTCAACCAAGAGGGCGAGTGAATTGGTCTAAATCTCTTTTTACCCTTCTTTGAAAATTTTCAGATGTATACAATTGTTTTCAATGAATCTTTCAACTCTTCAAAGATTTAACAAGATAATAAGCAAGAACAATGAAAGAAATCAATACAAGATTTATACTGGTTCAACTTTCAAGAGTTTACATCTAGTCTTCTTCCAAACACTTGAGTTGGAAAGAAATCCACTAATACCAAGTGTCAAGATTTACAAAATAGAAGATTCACCTATGTACTCTAACTCTCTCAATCACAACAAAAACACAATCCTAAAGGTGAGATGACACACACTCACTCTAGAAACCTTACTTACACAGTAAAGGTAATTATAATTCATAGAGAATTTCAGGAAAACAAAACTTGATACACCTCAAGTGTAGGTATTACGAAGAACTTATAATTCAGACACTTCCTTGATATTTCCTCTCACTCTTGAAGGCTTGAACATTTGAATTTCCTCCATTGATGTTGGTTTCTCTAAGAATGCTCCAAGACCACTTAAACAATGTTTTTGTTTCACAATTGATAGCTCTAAGAATGTTTTTCGTGTCTACAAAAGAAATGGACCACATATATATAGCAAAAGCACATATCTATTAATTTTAATCCCTAAACCCTAAAATTCAACAAGAATTTGTAGATTTTAGGAAGAGGTCAACGACAAGGGAAAGTATAAAGAATACACTAAGAACACTGCTTCGGTGCAAAAGACCATGTCATACCTTTTAACGGTTAATGAGAATGAAAGAGAAAATAGTTACAACACCCACCTCTAAAACTAGAGGAGCACCTAATGCCTCATTAGCGGTAAGAGGAACTCGCCAACACCCTTTGTTTGACGACATCATGGATATCGCACTCCCTAAGTAGTGGAATGCTCTTATAATGGACTGATGCGATGGTATCACTAATCAAGGTGAGCATACGTCATCAATATGTACTTGACTAACAATGTTGTTGTGTGTAAGATCTTCCCTACCACCTTGAAGGGAGTAGCCTTGGAATGATTTACCCATCTACCTCCCTTTTCTATAGTTGTTTTAATACCCTAACATCGTCCTTTACAACACAGTTCGCCATAAGTTGGCATCATCACCTTACTTTCCTGGCACTTCTCAATGTCAGGTAGGAGAAAGGGGAGTCCTTGCACACCTTTTTCGATTGGTTCGACAAGGTGGCCTTGAAGATCAAGAACTTGAATCTTGAAGTAGTTTTACATTACATGATCACAACACTGAGGCAACGACCTTTTATAGATGGCCTATGCATGACTCGCTAACAAGCATGGATGAGTTAAGGTAACAAGATGCAAAATTCACGCAANATAAGACTTCCAGTATTCATAATTGAAAGCTAAAGGGTCTAATTAGTCCAATACACAGGGAACAAGTTTTAAACATCAGAAATGAGTTCAAGGGACAAGCTCTTTCAGATGTTATTAAAGACAAACAAATTTTAAAAAACAGAAAGCTATTTATTGGAGTTAAAAGATGAAGAAACACAAGCTGTTTAGATTCTGTTATTTTTGTTTGGCTGTAGATAGGCGTTTTAGTTAGTTATTGCAGATATATAAGTTTGTTATTAGCTCCTTCCTGCTGCTATAAAGAGACTCCCCTTATATTTCAAACATAGTGCATTTTTCAATCACAAAAGGTGTTATTTGGTTTCTTGCTGTTTTCTCTTATAATAGGGTATAAGTTTTTCAATAGTATTTTATCTTTTCTGTGCTTCTCTTACCCATCAAATACCGCAGAGACTGAGATTAGTCAATCAGCCACCGACAACCAGTGCCTCCGTTCCGTTCATTCAATACTAATTTTGAAAACAGTAAGCAAAAATGGCCAATTAATCCTACTTAGGGGGTTTATACATTCTAGAATCTTCAAATCTCAAACAGTAAATAATCATTGTTGGGTGATCCGGATACCTTGGAAAGTCCATCCCAAAGAATTGAGAAGCGCAACCAGACAGAGAAAACTAGAATTACAATACCCCCAAGCTAAAAAGAATACATCTTTCAAGATCAACGATAATTTATCCAGACTCCAAAGCAAATACTTGAAAAGGGCAGGGAAATTACGCATGTCTTTGATCACCATCTCCTCAACATGAGTATATTCACATTTAATAGAACCTTTTACTACGCAAATTTCCCAAGGTGAAATTTCTATTCTAATTGAAGATCAGCATCAAAAGTTTTGTCTTCAAAATAAACCCAAGCTAAGAAATTACATCTTTCATCGTTGATCACCATCTCCCGAACACAACACTACAAGACAAAGTCCCGATCCAGAACACCCAATTCTGGGGGGAACACAGAGAAACCATTTATGATCACCCCATGAAGAAGGGGTGAGCTGGAACATGAAGAAATTGAAATTCAATTAACAATAAGAAGAGAATAGAAAAAGAAAAAGGGTAGGCATAAAAGAACCTGTATCTTGTGCGACCATGGGAACGAGCATCGGCTTGGTACTTGGTCTTGCAGGTGTCAAGTGGGTAGAGAATAGTGGTGCTGATGAGTGACCCTATGGCCCCAGAAGTGGCCTCTGCTAATGACTCCAGATCCACGTTCATCTTCCTCCTGGGTAGGTTGTTGGAGAATAGAGGGTATGTGTATATTTTATGACAGTAACAACAATATTATATATAATGTAGAAATTTAGTATAAGACAGGGAACAAAAATGGATGCTACAGAGAGAAAATAAAGAGGAAATGGAAAAGGAAAAGATGGTTTATAGGAACTAATAAAGAAGGGTGAGAAGGTCGTGGAAGGGCAACACCACCTAACGTAGTGAAAACATTTTATAGGGTTCCACGAAACCAATGGACAGAACAAAAACGTGAGTGGCGTGCTACGTTGTGTTACGTTATAGAACCATGCTATCTACCAAAGTAAGTCCGTGTAGAACTAGCGCGTTATTGTGTGCATGCTTCTTGCTTGACTAAACGGTGTTTTCAACAAATAAAAGACACACTGTGTATATCCGACCCATGTGGATAAATACGGGGTGAAAAAGACACTACCGTGACGCATACAGATACATAATGGTAACACTGTTTTTTTAATAAAAGGCATTAAAATAGGATTAGGGTTCATTTTTAGTGAATGATTGAATAAATTGTTAGTGTATTAAGGAATGTATGATTATTATAATAGTATAATATCTTCTCTAATTATATTTCTGACTAACAAACAAATTTTATTTTTGNAGCAATATGTACTTCATTATATTAAAAGGATAACCGGAAAAAAATACTGGTATTATCAAAAATACATTTCATCCTTATTTTTATCAATCTCACCTGATCAAGCAAGTGAGACAAAGTCTTCCGTCCTTGGATACCTAATTGGCATACCTTGATTCTTTCTATAATTTGTAATTACCTAAACCATATTTTTTACAACTGTTTTAATGTATACACTGTTATAGAATTTTCTCTTAATTTTATAATTTTTTATGAAACTTAGCTCCAATGTATATTCTGGCATCTGTTTCACTTCTGTTTATAGTTTATGAGGAAGGAAAATATGGTTTATTCAATTCGCAACAATGACATTTTAATTCTCACACTGTAACACGTCAAACACATAGTTTATTTCTTTACATATAATTTTTCTCAACTTATTTTTTAATTGGTCAAGAGGTACCAAACCAGTTCATATATATATGTCATTTTTCATTGTGCCATGTCATCGTTACTTTTACAGATTCTTAATTTAACTTTTTTATGTGTTTACAGCACATTTTTATTTTGTTTTTACACTGTGTATAATAAAACTAATTTTTATAATCATACTATTAGTACGAAATATTAATAAGATTATTCTTGTCGTTCGGAAACTCTTTAGGAACCTTTTCTCTTTTTCTAACTACCTTTATATAAATAAAAATAAAGCTAAATTAAAAATGTGTTAATTTATACCAAATTAAAATTCCTAGAAAGGAACGGATAATAAATAACAAATATATAACATATATTTTTGTTAGAAATTGGGAACATTTGAGACGTAAAACTGAAGTTTATAGTTATCTATTAATGTTGGAATTAATTATATATATAATATTTTACATTGAAGAAAAAGGAGTTATGTATGAGCTTATAACTTGTATTAGCTATTAAGAAAAAGGTGTGAGTTTTGTTTGTGTGATTTGGCTGACAAGGTTGTTAATGTGAACCAAAACAGCATTAGCGGTTTCCCCAAAATATCTTGTGTAGGGTCCACTAATTCAGAAAAACCATAAAAACCCATTCCACAGGACCATCAAATCCAGCTAAGCAACAATCTCATACATAACACAAACAGCACGTTACCACCACACCTTTTCGACTACTTAACGAGGTGGTTTTGCTGTGTTTCCTTCGCCACCACAATTTTCTCTCTTTAAACAATTACCAATTTTCTTATTTTTCTTTTTAATATTTTTTGTTCCTTTTTTTATTCCATAATTTATCATCACATCCTACCCATCATTTTCCATACCAGCATGTGTGATGACATGTTGGGCTGGATAGGCATAAACTCAAATAAAAAACTGAAACTTCAATTTAAGAAAAGGTTAAAAAAATTCATTTTATTTGTTAGTCAACATTTTAATACTTAATTTTGCAACCAGAACAAAAATACATTATCTTTTATTTTTCGGTTCTTATTTTCTTGTGACCCAGTCTAATATATTGATATATGTATACAACAATTAATAATACATATTGGTTTTGGGAAAATCTTTTATTTTGTAATTTTTTTATTAACCAGCTTTTCTGTGTTTTCTTAAAGGTTAAGGAATTCCTTAACGTGATTACTTTTTTTTTTATAATCATTATAGTAATTGATCTTTATAATTATGTTGATTTTTTTTGTTATCATAAAAAAATAGATATAAAGGGACAGAAAGACAGAAAGAATGTATATATGTACTTCCACTAATTGTTTAGTAAATGGAAAGAAAATATATAGAAAAGACAGAAAGAAAATAAACGAAGAGAAAAAAAAACTTTAATTGATTTAATTACTAGTTATTATAATTGTTTATTATTAAGAGATTTCTAATCAGATTTATTTTTATAATTTTTTTATTTACACTTCAATAAAAAAATAGTTTAATTATTATAATTAAATATTAATTTATTGGTAACGGTTTGAAAATAAACATGGTATTCATATTTTATTTTTTCTTAAAACTTATGGATTTATGCAATATTCAAATCTAAATATTAAAAATCAGTATCTCAGACTAACATGTTTAAATGATATTTTCTTAAAAAATTTACATATAAGATTCTTAATTTAAAAGTTTGTTAAGAAAATTCTTATATTTTAGTGTTGTAAATAAAAAAATTGAAATTACAAGGAATGACTTTTAAATAGAGAAAATTAAAGAAAACCAGAGCAAGTGAGTAATTTAACAAAATTGAATTAAAGAAGAATATGAAAGAAAACAGAAATTTAAATTTATGTTTCTTCAAGTCTGTTTTTATAAGTTTAATAAATATATATCATAAGTATAATATGCGTTATATTATTAATAAGTTAAAATGATTTATAGATAACTATAAAAGAGATCCACCTATCTACTTTGTAGTACGCAATTTTTTATTTAAGTGGTACAATGTATATTAAAAAAGGGAGGTTCGAAAAAACCCTTCTTTTTGCGCTGTAACGTGCTGGTGGCACCTTAAAACATTCAAACTCCAAAGCACTATCAAATAAAACAACGACACAGAAGAAAAGCTTTAGTGGGAGAGAGAGAGAGAGAGAGGGTAAAGGGGTATTAGATCCTCAACCAGATCAAATTGAAATCCCTTTCATGGGGTTATTTTGGTGAACGAAAATAACAACCCCTTTGCAGTAAAAGGGGATTCTTTGGTCTAGATTTGTTTGCATTGCGGAACCGGATACTCCATTATTGTTGTTATCACATCTATCTGTATCATCTTCTTATTTTCACTCTCATTGTGTTTGATTTGTGTTGTTTTTGTTGGTCCAACACAAGCATGGAGGGTGAGAAGAAGTACATGACCTCTGAGGAGCTGAAGGGTCACAACAAGGAGGGAGATTTGTGGATCTCCATTCAAGGTAAGGTGTACAATGTGTCTGATTGGGTTAAGGAGCACCCTGGCGGTGATGTTCCTATTTTGAACCTTGCTGGCCAGGATGTCACGGATGCATTCATAGCTTACCACCCTGGTACAGCCTGGTCACACCTTGACAGATTTTTCACTGGCTACTACCTCAGTGATTTCAATGTCTCTGAGGTGTCCAGGGACTACAGAAAGCTTGCATCTGAGTTTTCCAAAATGGGTCTCTTTGACACCAAAGGGCATATCACATCCTACACCCTTGCAGCCGTTGCTTTTATGTTCCTCGTTGTTCTATATGGTGTGTTGAGGTGCACTAGTGTGTGGGCTCATTTGGGCTCAGGCATGCTTCTGGGGCTTCTCTGGATGCAAAGTGCTTATGTTGGCCATGATTCTGGCCATTATGTGGTTATGACAACCAATGGTTACAACAAGTTTGCACAGCTCCTCTCCGGGAACTGCCTCACCGGGATAAGCATTGCTTGGTGGAAGTGGACTCACAATGCCCACCACATTGCCTGCAACAGCCTTGACCATGACCCTGATCTGCAGCACATGCCGGTTTTCGCCGTGTCCTCGCGCTTCTTCAATTCTTTAACTTCTCATTTCTACGGGAGAAAGTTGGAGTTTGATTTCTTTGCCAGGTTCTTGATCTGTTACCAGCACTTTACTTTTTACCCGGTCATGTGCGTTGCCAGGGTCAACTTGTATTTGCAGACGATTCTGCTCTTGTTTTCAAAACGTAAAGTGCAGGACAGGGCCTTGAACCTAATGGGGATCCTTGTGTTCTGGACTTGGTTCCCTCTTTTGGTGTCTTGCTTACCAAATTGGCCTGAGAGGGTTATGTTTGTTCTAAGTAGCTTTGCTGTTTGTTCCATTCAGCACATTCAGTTCTGCTTGAACCACTTTGCTGCAAATGTATATGTTGGGCTACCCAATGGGAATGACTGGTTTGAGAAGCAGACAAGTGGGACATTGGACATATCTTGCTCCTCTTGGATGGATTGGTTCTTTGGTGGCCTGCAGTTTCAGCTTGAGCATCATTTATTTCCAAGGCTACCAAGGTGTCAATTGAGGAAGATTTCACCTTTGGTTATTGACCTTTGCAAGAAGCATAATTTGCCTTACAGGAGCTTGTCATTTTGGGAGGCCAATCAGTGGACAATTAGGACCCTCAGGACTGCTGCCCTGCAGGCCAGGGATTTGAGCAACCCTGCCCCAAAGAATTTGTTGTGGAATGCTGTTAATACCCATGGTTGAGGCACGAGAAGTTTTTAGAGTTTAGGATTTTGTCAAGGTGCTTTTTGATTTGTTTTTCCTCTTGTAAAAGAAAAAAAAAATCTTGTGATTTTGCTAGCCCCCACTTTTCCAGATTGGGCTTTGAATTTAACTTTTTGTTAGATGTGTGGAGAAATGGATGGTGATCCAGATTTTACCACAGTTCATGTGCTTTTCATCAATACAAAATTCATATCCCATATGGATTTTTGTCTTTTACTGGTTTTTTCTTACCTTGGCATAGTTTCTTAGTCTCTGAAAGTTATTATACCATGGTTGATCGTAATAGAAGATAGAAAGATTTCATAGATTGTGTATGTGTATGTACTTTTGTGTATGTGTTTACTTTTGTATTCATCGGTTGTTGGTCAGAATATTTCTTCTTTTATTCTGGTTTTGTTGGTGAGAGAGGACAGAATTATGGCAATATACGGCATATTGATATTCAAGTCATTTTCATATTCAGGCCATTTCCTGTGCCTGAAAAATAGAAAGTGAGCTCTGTTAATATGCCAATATAATGGCTTCAACCCTTGTATTCTAAGTGAAGTCTTGTATATCGATCAGAAGTTTGTTGGAAATGAAGCCATCAGAATGAATTTGACTTTTGCTAAAAGAATGATTCATGCTGGAGAATGGGGCATCAAGGTTTAAAAGTGTTGATTCTCAGCAACAGCTAAATTCCATTGGAAGCAATGTTTGATATTGGAAAGTAATGGTAAGCTTGAATGGATCAATTAATGTATGAGTCACTAAGAATGATTTTGAATTTGTATAAGCTAGTATGTATTAATCTTGCATAGAGAATAAGCAATTGAAATGGTGATTTCATTTAGCCAGAATGGACTAATGAATGCGTATGATGCCATCAGAATGTTTTTGTCTGGCTTCTCCAAGAAGAATGCTTCATGGTGAGAAAACTTATGGAAGTGGAAACATATCCTCTGCAGTTTAGAATTTAATTTTAAGTTTGATCGAGTAGTTGGAAATTCTTTTACCTGTGCTTTTTAAAGTAGTTTTATCTTCACAAAACATAATTCAAAGGTTGATATTCTGAAGTTGTAAAGGATTGTAGTTGGAAATTAATTTTGTGGTCTCAGCAAGAGAAGTTGATATGTATTTCATTTTTTATAATGATTGATGTAATGATTGTAGCTATTGTTGTGATGATTGATGTATTTCATTTTTCCTTGATATTATTTACAAGATTTAACCCTTTTTTGTGCTAGTTATTAGTTAACAAAGTATAGATTTGGGTAAAGGAAGATATATGTTTGTTATTGATATCCAAGCATTGCGTTCAGACAAAAGCTGGGATTTTTCTTTCTTAACAGAATCAAGCTGACTTAAATGCATCTTTCTTTTCCTTAGTGGCTGTGCTAAGCTCTTTCTTCAAATTCTCAATCTCGACAGTCAGCTTGCTAATGTCCGGCATCTTCCTTAGCACGTTGTCTAGTTGGCGGCCCATCACCATAGCTTGAGATTGAAATTCATTCAGCGCCTACAACAACATTTCTGGACGGGTTGTCGAGACTATGCTAGTTTCTTCTGATGTTAAAGTTGCATCTATGCCCTCATTAATTTTCAGCTTTGCATCAAAGAACACCGCCAATGTATCACCCAAATCAGAGGTCTTGGTACCCAGGTGTTTCGGCGATGGAGGCCGAGGTGTTCCAGGCCTTGTAGTTTTTTCTTTGCGCTAATACTTCTTCTTTTCAACACAGGGAGGCCTAAGATCTTCCCTTTCAGCTGATACCTTCTCGACAGCTCTTGGTTCACTCGTACCTTCAACAACAACAACAAATTTTTTATTCTCTTCTTCCTCTAATATCTTCTTCCTCAGTTGCAAGAACACTTCCTTTTGGGAGGGGACAACGACAGTCATGATGTCTGCAAAGAAGAAATGGCATTAACAAGCATTAACAATGTATCTCATTAAGACATACATACCAAAGAGATCATATCGGGGATGGGAGGAAAGAAACACCCTGACAATTTTCCTTCAAGGGAGTTTCTTGGGCAGTTGATCCAAGTACGAAAGTACATGGAGATCCTCAATAGTCATGCATGACAGGCCAATCATGGGACCGAATAGATTATTGGGTAGAATAGAAGGGAAACTTGGACTTGTTATTTTCAAAATAAAAATACTTAGATCTAACCGACTTGATCACTACTTGAAAGAAACCACTTTTAAACTTCTTGAATGACCGAGTATATGAATATAATATAACGAACGCTTTGCCCTACTAGTGACGACCAAGTTATAAGGTCTCCCGGGCATATGCTATAATGATGCAAGAATATTTGAGGAGTATGTTTTAAGTCGGCACAATAATCTAAAGGCTTGTAAGGATATAATTGGGTAGGAGTAATGTTAAACATTCTAAACGCCCTCATGGTGAACCCGTCAAAAGGGAAACACACATGCAACTTTGTTATCAGGACCCAATACATATAAAAGAATTCATGAGGATTTTCCTCTCTACCATAGCAAACATTTATTCTTAGGGTGATTTCTCTTTACCATCTTCAAAGAGGTCTTATTGCTAACATAGAAGAAACGCCAACTGGGTGAGGAGAGGTGCAAAGCGATCGAGGCTAAAGTGAAGTATTAGGAGCGAGAGTTCAAGTACACTGCTTGACTTTCCAACATGGTCCTAATAAAGAAGTCAAGTGGTTAGTAACGGATGTGCACTACTTCATTGATCTCAATAAAACCTATCACAAAAAATTTAAATTGTAATTAAGTCAATTATAATCAAAAGTTCATAAAAAAAAACTATAAATATGAATAAAAGAAATTACACATTTATTATAACATAACTACTATAAATACGGGGTAACTTTAACATCAAAAACACTTTTAAAATATACACTCGATTGTTGATTAACATATTACTTTAAAACAAAAAAACAAAGACAACATTACAACTATAAATTTGTTTTAAATAAATGATTGACCCTACACTTGAAATATATACTAATTAAAAATATATAAAATATAATTTCGAAAAATATATTCATCATATATATTTCACGTCATTCAGTTTCATAATATATACATATATATATATATATATATATATATATATATATATATATATATATTATTTTACATTTTTTTTATAATGTAACGTGTTGCGTATATTTAGTTTACTGCCATCATTGTGTGGTAGATGCTCCTGTCATCATTGTTTTTGTTCAATTCACAAAATGCACAACCTATTAAGTACACAAGTGTCGCTTCACTTTTTAATTTGCAAAGTATTTAGGTGAAAGTCAGAAACTTGAACTCTTCTCATTACACCCTTTCAAAATGGATAGTATTTGTGAGGTAAATTTGGAGGACAAAATCCTGTCTCCTTTGAAACAGACAACATTATTCATGGTATTTAGCAAAACTTGGAACCAAGGATATCATATCAAGGTTTTTGCATCATGCATTAAAAAATGTTAAGTATGATTATCCACTTTATGAAATGCTAGATATTAGTATGAACAAATCGGAGTTACAAGCACATCAGTCGTTAAGCCTCTGAATTGAGAATGCGATTTTGTATATCGGAGAATGTCTTCACATCAATACCCCATAACCTGCTTTGACAAACAATTTGAAATCATTAAGACAGAAAAGTCAATTTAAAATTGAACAAAAATAAAGAATATCATGAGACTTTTATAGAATTTTTTCCACATAATATTTATAAGAAAAATTTTCCCTGTACACATTAATTCCCCAAGTAGACATCTTCACTATAAGATGATTACAATTTTACAAAGACTTGAAGGCTAGAGAGAAGTATTATTCAAAACTCCACCAAACACACTAGATTAGACTCCACTTTTTTCTATTTTGTATTACTTTTTCATTTTTTATATTTTCTATATGAAAGACTAAACCATTTTAGGTTGATTCTCTTGAAGTTCACACTGAATTATGAAACTTTGTGCTAATCAGGTTTACTTGTCTAATTCTACAGTAGAGTTTGTTTATATCGTATTATGAATTCTGTAATTGGAATTATTTTTTGAAGTTGTTAATAATTCTATCATAGTAAAAATTTAGATCCATATTTTATTAATGCAGAAATACTATACCAAAAAATTTATTTTTTATCACATTTTTTATTAAAACAATACTAAATCTTTTTAAACTAAATTCTCTGATGTATTTATTGCTTTCACTCATCCAAATAAAATAAATTTTACTTCTTTACCCAACTATTTTTATCAATCTAAATGATACATATTTTTATTGGTCTACTCTCCCAAAAGAATATACTATGATATATTACTAATAATACGGTTACCAAACCAAAACTAAAAACTAATTAATCATAAAATCATACCACGTATATAACAAAAGTTTATAGTATCCATCTTTATTTTTCTCAACATTCGCATAGTAATTTATCATTATATACATACATAGCAACAAAATTAATAAATTAACCTTTATTTCTATTTTTTTACATTCTTTTCTTTGTTTTTCATTTTTCTTCTCCTCTCCCGTGTCTATATATATATATATATATATATATATATATATAAAAGACCACAACTTTCCAGCAATTCAACCCCCGAAAACTGAATTTCAATGAGGCTTTCGCCACCGGTCCAGCCAAACGGAGGTGGGAATTCGGCTGTCCGGGAGCAAATCTCTACCTTCTACAGCAAAGAGGTCTATTAGGGGAATTAATGTGCATAGGGGTCCAGTTGGGGAAAATTCTCTTAAAAAAATATTATTTGTAGAAAAATTCGACTTTTTTTATCAATACAAACAAGGGATGTTTACTTCAGACAAAAAGTTCTTACCAGCAATCGATCCCCACGTTATTGGCCCCCATTTTATCTGCTTTTTTATCATCTCCAATGTGTAAGGCTTTGCAAGCCTCTACATTTACTTGATCTAAGAAACGGAAAACATTGGCAGCCAGAGTCAATCAACTTAGCATTATTGCAGCAACAATGGGTACCATGAATAGTGTCATTTTCTACCCTCTAATTCCACAAGAAAAACATAGTTTGCTGCAGTCTCATAAATGATACTTTCAAATGTTCTGTTTACAGCTAAATGGGGTGAAAAGGATTCAAGTCATATGCATAAATAAACTGTTAATTAACTAATGTATAATCCATTAAGATTAAAGGATGGAAAAATGAACCCAAAAAAAGCCTGAATAAAATAAGGTATTTTCACTAACAACTCAAGGAAAATATCTACCATATTCCACATGAAAGTCAAAAGCATATTACAGAGATGAAAGATACTATGCCTAGTAAACATGTAACTGTTTTTTTATTTATGCTAATCATAGTGAGGAATGCTGGAGAGAAGGATGCAAGATCGAATTTATTAAAGTAAAACTAAAAATCATTTATACCTAGAGCAGCTTGGAATATTCTGGAATCTGGTTTTTCATATCCGACCTCTGATGATATAATGACAGCATCAAATCTGAGGTGAAAACCAGAAAATGATACATTTAAAGCTATGTATGCATCAGAGTTTGTGAAATTTCTTCAAACTAAGGTTCAACAAGCAATCTTAATCACCTCCTGGAAAAAAAAATGCTCAAAATTGCTAATAGCTTAGTAACAGCACATTGAAAGAATGGCCGATACTCACAGATTTAAGACATTAAGATCCTTCAATAGCTTCCTTAAGCGGTTGTCAAAATTGGATACAACAGCCATCTTAACTGCGTACTGCTAGTCACGTTAGTAAGGACCAACTTCAAAGTAAGTAGGATTCGATAACGTTAAATTTTTAACAATGTTACTTCTTCCAGATAACAAGAAATAATTGTTACCTCCAGCATCCTTCAGAAGAGTAATTGCTTCATGAGCTCCATCGGGAAGATGCCACGCATCCCCTCTTGCATAGTACTAACAAAAACAAAACAAGACTCGAAGTTCAGACACAAATGTGACTGATATTATTACTTTGAACAACAAATCAAGTAACTTTTGAAACACTCTCCTGCCAATCTACTTTTACTGGTTAAGAAATAATATCTAGAAACAACACGAAGAAAGATCAGAAACTACAACCTCAAAACCTATAGATCATAATATGGTCATATTTCAAATGATTAGGTGAAAAATAAAGGATTAAATTGTTCCAAAAAACCTATAATTTCTTTTTTCAAAAAGATTAAATTGTTTCACAGATAGAATCGTCATAAACTAGAAATGAGGTAATGACAAGTAAAACAGTCTGCTGCTAAGAAAGGCTACCTCATAAACTTCCTCAAAATAGTCCCCATCTCCACAACCTGTGGCTTCAGAAACTATAAGTTTCCAAAATGGCTTCCCGTCTCCCTGCAGTGAAGTAAAGAGTGTAGATCACTGTCATTGCATTTGCAAATCAGATGGTCTTTAGTTTGCATGTCATGTTGAAAGAAATTAAACATGTTGCTGATAAATAGGTAAATAAATGGAAAACCAAACTGACATCAATATCCTGTAATGGCTACAACCTAATGTTGGCTTTCAAAGTGACATCCCAGTCAAGCAAGTATGTCAAATCCTCTAAATTTACAACATTTTTCTCTTTCTTTCCCTTATAGACAACAGCAGGCTTCCCTGTACAGTTCATTTTACTAAGCACATTTTCAAAACACCCATCTTTCTAGAGTAACAGTGCAGTATCTTGAGAAAGACTGAAAGAGAGTTATCGGAAACAAGGAGGCAGAACAGAAAAACATCAAAACTTACCAGGCAATCACAAAAAACATTAAAAGAAAAATGATCAAAGGTAGGGCACAAACCTGGTACCGTAGCTTTTCAGGCCACGGAGCAGCAAATGCTCTCTTAAATCCTTGCTTTATCATAGCTGGATCCATAATAACACCTGAGGACAGTCATCACAAGCGTGAATATTCAGACAAATAAACATCTTAGACATAGATGGCAAATATTGATAGTATTAACTACCTTACAGTAAGAGTGACATATGAGAAAGATAAATGTTTTTAACACGTCTTTCAAGCACGTTCTTTATTAATTATTGGCTGAAATTGATTGGAAATCACAATCTCATTTCTCATTTAATAAATTCAACTCATGAATTTATAGTTTCCAATAAATGTTCACCAACGATGATGCCCAGTATGTTAAAAAGGGGTGTGTTACTGATACTTCTCTAAGGAGAAAACATCTATTTTGGATCCTCCAAAAACATTAGTGTTTTCAAGTAGAAATTAGAACGAAAGAGCAAGAAGCACACCATATTTGGATCCAATAGCGGCATAAGTGTCCTCAACTGGCTTTGCCAATTGCAAAAGGGTGCCCCCAGCGTCCAACAGCAATGCATCATATGCCTTCTTCCCACCAGTACCTATGGTGTCGCCAACAATACACAGTTAAATTCAGCATCACCAAATAACAATAATATCAGCAAAACTACATCAAATGTTAGATAACTTTTGGAGGTAGAACAAACAGCCTATTTCGAAATTATCAAGGAAAAGATGAATGAGTGAAAAAATGAGGTTACTTTACTTACCTTTGTTGATGAGCATTGAAGAAATTGGCAGAGAAGAATCGCGGGTTTTGGCTCTGAAAGCTCTGAAAAGGGCGTTGGTGTTGGAGCATCTCATCATAGCACTGCTGTTCATCATCTCATTTCTCTTCTCTTCCCTCTCTCTCGTATCGTAGTTGTCATTTGTAAATGCCAAAAACCTACCGAACCGAATCCCAGAATAGTCGAACCGGATCCGCAAACCGAATCGTTCTCCGGTTCAAATTTGGTTAGCCACTAAACAAACCGAACTGTTTCTTGGTTTGAAAAATGCTGGATCAAATTATCCTTGTAGGTTACTTTTGATTTTTAATATTCAAAATAAACATTGAAATCCATATAAAATAACATATTAATGTCTCTCATTAACCATAATAATTTTGCATACAAACTAAAATATAAAAGCTCTTAATATGTTTTGGGTTTCCATTTTCTTATAAAAATTTCAAATTAGCTTTCTAATTATTTTTCTCATTAGGTTCTTATATTTGAAAATGTAGTGCAATAAGTCCTAATTGTTAAAAAGGTCATAATCATCAATGAAAGAGTGATGAAGCATGCATATATGGTAGTTTTTAATTATTTGATGTTGTAAAATATTGTTGATGTGAATTTTTATTTTTTTTAAATGTTAGGGTGAATATTTGATTAAATAAGATGGTTTTCGTGGGTTCAAAACGCGAGAGTAGGGATTGATGATTTTAGGGAGATTGAAGGTAAAAAGATTGTGTTGTCATTAGAAGCATGTTTGTTGGGATCGAAGATAGTCAGCATTGAAGGTGGGTTTAGTTCATCATTTCAATTTGGGTGTTTTATGTTGTGGGTTACTGTTTCCTTTTTTCTCTTTTACAAAACCAAATTTTTGATGTTGGAGTTTCATGTGTTTAAATGTTGCTGATTGGGTAATTATTTTTTAAATTTGTCATAAGATAAGGTTTATTGTACCACTGTCTTTAATTGTGTAGATTATGCTCACTCGTTTGGAAGTCGTGTCTGAGTGTCTTGTTTTAGGCTATTGGTGGTTTGTAATGTATTTTATTTTGTTGAGATGTAGATATTTTACAAGTGTATATATATATATATATATATATATATATAT